TTAAGCCAGAGTTGTTGGGAATTAGCATCCATAGTTGCTGGCGAGTTATAGATGATCGATGCTTTAAATGAGTTTCTAATGTAGACAACGATCCCGCCCCCAGATTTATGCGGATCTCTCCGCATCTCTCCTCTCGATCTCTCCTCTGTCCTGACTGAAAATGATATGGCCAGGAATTTGGATGTCATTATTAGTCGTAGGAGGGTCCAGCCAGGATTCAGAGACGATAAATATATCATTATCATCGTGAACAATCGTTTGCTTGACCAGGAAGAGTTTTTTGTGTGAAGTCATCGCATGATTTTTAAGTTTTTACATGTTTAGAAACAAATTATCAAATAGATAAAATTGAAACTGAAATGCTTAACGCTGTTTGAAATTTCATTTTCGGGTAGAAAGAAGGTTACCTTAAAAATGATGTCTCTCTAACGTCCTTGACGTTCAACTAGACATTATTGACTTGAATTATGGCTACATTCACCATGCAAGGGTATGTAATGTCATACAGATCAATCAGCGGTCACCTACCCCGAGTGATCGTAATTTGAAAGCTCTAACGGTTTGGGAACCGCGATATCCAAATAAAGCCTCATCCAAAGGCTCTCAGCAAAGCTTAAGGGTGAAATTGGCATTCTTTAAGTTTATCTCAGCTCGCTTAAAAAATAGAGGAAATGGAATGAAGTTGAACTCATGAGAAACGTAGAAATATCATTCAAGTTTTGTTCTCCCTTTTGTTGATAAGCCATCCCTTTCTTAATCGATTAACGAGTACAATGTAACGTCAGGTGTCACCTGTTTTTGCATCACATGTTTTTGCACCGGTATGGACCAGCTGCTCAGTTTATTTGACTATATACACAGATGGAAGCGAACTGCTTATTCAACATTTAATTAAATGAGATGAGATTATTTAACAATTGGCGCGATTCGTAAAGAAGAAAACACAAAAGTAAACAAACGTAGAAATTTGTTTGGAAATCAGAGGCTTCTTAAATTGGTGATTATTTCCTTTATTATTGTGACCTTATGTATGATTCAAGGGTAACACTGTAGAAATTAGACGCCAGTTACCCATACCCGGCTAAGAGTTGAAAAAATATGGGCATGCAACAGCTTATGCGCTTTCAGGTTTGAAAATAGTTTCGAATTAGTGATCCGTTTGGACTTCGTTTTAAACTCCTTTTTTATTTCAAAGTGTAACTGCATTTACAATCGACAGAAATGACCTTTCTTAATTATATATATATATATATATATATATATATTTGTTCTTCCTTTTCAGTCTTTTCAGTCAATTTGCCACATTTACACACATTTAGAGGCTCGAGGAGAAGATGAATCCCTAGGCTTGGAAAGAAAGAAACTTGACTCATCGGGCAGCAGTTACTCTTTTATTTTCCTTGTGAAAATTGCTTTTGTTACATAACATAAAGCTGACCTTACATCTTTTTACTTTTTTTATTTCTATTATCAATACTGTTTGAGGTGCACCCCTCGTTTGAAAGCACTCCAACAGATTACAATTTTCCGGAGCACATGATAACGGGAAACTGCATTTGATCAAGAGCACAACCAGGGGGGTGAAATACCTGACCAGTCCCACTTACGCTTGCATTTGTAGTTGTCAACTAATGAACTTGTTTTCCTTAGAGACCAGTCATCATTCATCGCCCCCCAGGGGGGAGGGGGAGTTTTCGGATTATTTTTAAGAACAATAGACCCTATTAGAAATCGTAACCTGCGTAGCCAGGCACCTAAAGGAGGGAAGAGGGGAGGGGACAGTGGATGAATGCAATAAAGGGAACACCCAGTTTTATATAATTTTTACTTTATACTTTGTTACCGAGGACTTATTCCCCCCCACCCCTCCGTTACCCTTGAAACTGTGTGATCCCAACTGCAATCAAATCCTTCTACCCCTCCCCCGCTCCCTTCCCCCCAGTGGTAAATAAGGACTGGTCCTAAGAACAGAAAAGTGCATGATAACCCTGATTTCAAAAATGGGCGCTTTCCTAGTTTATGGCTATGAAAAGTTTTGTTACGACTACTTGCTGCTCAGTGAAAGCTCAGACGAAAATTGCATATATATCAACGCAAACGGTGCCTCCATTGTCTCCCTCGCTGGTATTCATCAGATCCTCGCCATACCACACTCGTAACTCTTGGTTGTAGTTCACGTGGGAGGGACTAAAAGAGGAGAGCACTAACTCTGAGGAAAATGAGTCATATCCAGGAACCTTGGACCATTTAGCACCATGATGTTCGATGAATTCGTGTGGCGGCAAAAGAACTTGATCGCCTGAGTTTGTTATGACAACATTAATCTTGCCCAGTCCCCAGCCGTACAAGCCACAGCCCCAGTAAGACCAATAAGAGACATGTCGTGTGTCACAGGACACGTACCCGTAGAGATGAACCAACTTCACAGCGGCCACCCTTTTAAAAGCAGTTTTAACATAGAATCTTCCAAACTGTCCGCTCTTTGCGCCAAAACACACAGGCGCGGTATTCTGCTTTTGCCATCTATCTGTAAAGTAAACAGTTTTTTTTTTTCTCATTTCAATAAAACATGTTTGTTATTCGAATAAAAAAACCAATCGTAGTAGTAACATTCAGGGAAGAAGATTACCGAATATCTATTCAACCCAACGAAGCTGCGAAAGCCCAATGCTAATAGAAGGAAAAGTTAATTCTTCAACCCAGTTCTTAGTATTGTTTTCCAAATGCAAGTCAAAATTACATATGAAAACGGTTTAATTCTTAACTAGGGAGACAAAAAAACTTACAGTCTAACCTTTCCTTATGGCCTATCTTCGTCCCAGGAAAATTATATTATATTTTCTTCGCAAAGCCCACTCCAATACACACATCTCTAATCGGACATGGAAGACTAAATTTCGGCCATAGAGAGCAAATACCGTAAAGATCCAATTTGATGCCCTCGTTCCAATTGTTTTTGTCAATGAGTGCCTCTAAACTGATTAGTACCCCTATACGGGATTTAAACCTATGACCCCTTGCGATACCGGTGCAGTGCTCTATCAACTGAGCTAACGAGCCAACTGGGAGCTGGTCACTGTTGGTTTATAAGTGATCAATTAATGAATGTGAATATATGAAAATTATATATATATGGTTAAGAAATGAATATGAAAGTCATATTCGTAGTGATGGACACAGAAATAAAAGCTTTTTTTGGTCATTGGCAAAAACAGGAAAAAAAATCAAATGCGTCAATGTCCCGTGGTTCATGAGCTATCGAGTTAAACACTCGAAGAGAAATTCCATATCTACGCGCTCTATTTATCTTGATCGATCTTCTAATACTGTCCAAGGTTTTTGGTTTATATGGGTCTACCCTACATTGAAAGTGTCTCAGAGATTCTTGGTCGCTGCCTACAACAACAAGGCGTGCGCACCGTCTTTAAATCAGACAAGACGGTCAGATCACACTTCGATCATAGTGCAAACAGAGATCCCATCATGTTAGCGAAAAGGGACGGCGCTGCTTACAAAATCTCCCCATTACAGCTTCCTTTGTCCCGTAGAAATTCGAACGAATTTTTCTTCACAAAAACTCCTATTAATTGCGGACGGCTTTAGTGAGCACAACAGGCTTGAAATCTCAGCCCTAGAGAGTAAATGCGTAGAGCATAACAACGATGACTTCTCTAGTACAGTCGAGTGCTATGAGTCATATGAGTCTGCTGAAAACTGATTGGTCGGTTTTGCCGTGGTGTTATTCGCTGTGATTGACAGTTTCGGTCCACCGGTATGGCTAATTCGTTCTGTATAAGCGGCTGGGAATATATGAAAGTCATATATTTGAACTGCGGATTAAGACGTAGATATGAAAGCGATCTTCGCAGTTATGAACACTACTTAAGCAGTAGTAAAAAGAAGGCCCCAAACAAATTCAGGCCTGTACGGGATTTGAACCCATGACCTCTGCGATACCGGTGCAGTGCTCTACCAAGTGAGCTAACAAGCCAATTAGGAGCTGGTCACTGTGTTGGTTCCAAATAAACCCGTGAAGTGGTGAATAAATGGCTGGGAATATATGAAAGTCATATATTTGAACTGCGGATAAAGACTTGGATATGAAAGCGATCTTCGCAGTTATGAAGCAGTAGTGAAATCCCATATCGTTCTGTATAATTCGTTTGTTGTATCAAGGTCGTATATATGTTGTTAATATAGTACCGAAGGTTGTTGACATGGTTCGAATCGCTGTTGTTTGTCATCATCGAAATTTCAAGAGACCTCATTGCTAAGGAACGCCCCCTCTCGCCGACGATCAATACCACTTTGGTTCTGTGCTACATTCTCCGCGGCACACAATTTTTCCTGACTTCTTCTATACACAGAACAACTACATGCAATTTACTTGAGAAATTGAGGAAGACTGAAAACTTCTCTTCCTAAACTTCTCAATAAGTTGTGACGAGAACACTGCGAACAAGAATTGACTAGAAAATGACGCATACCGACAGATTACTGGATCAGTTATCCCATAGTGGTGTATACAAGTGACGATTCTCATGAAATTCTGCGTCACCAAAAGGCCTACTACGCTGCAAATTTCACCAACTAAGAGGAAAAGACAGGGACCAACCAAACAACAGGAAAAGGAGTTTAGAACATCAAGAGCACCGACAGTCAAACGTCCTGTTTTGGAGAGACCGGCTGGAATTTCAGCACAAAATTGTCTGAACGCGCGTGGTGAATGAGATCATTTTATCTATTCTGAATCTGCTTATATAGCTGTTGTGACGCTAAATTGTCCTTGCTGTAACGGTAAATGTGTTCCCAAGCTCAACGGCATCAACCGCATGATTGACGAGCGAAGTCACGAACCACGCTTGGACCAAGACTCGCGCCTGTGAATTCTTTCACACGTATGCTTCGGTGTGAGCGTGTGGTGAATGAGATCATTTTATCTATTTTGAATCGGCTTATCTAACTGTTGTGACGCTGAACTGTCCTCGCTGTAACGGTAGATGTGTTCCTATGCGCAACAGCATCGACCGTATGACCGACGGGCTGTAGAAACAGCTAGAAATCCTATTTAAGTATATTAATTAATCATATATACGGCTCATGCGAATCGGACTTGAATCGAGACTTAAAGAATTCCATACAGGAAACCACACAGCCGTGCAAAAACACGTACTGTGCGTAAACGACTGAAGCACTTCGTTTTAAAAGCACAGGGAAATGAATAAACTTACCTGCAGCACTTCTCTTCACGGCCAACAACCCAAGAATTGAAACGAACAGGAAAATGAAAATAGCTTTCATGTTAACTTCAAACAGAGCGACTGGTGTTCTATCCTCCGCCACGAGTCTGC